TCTACCTATGTTTCATTGACTACGCAAAGGCCTTCGATAAAGTATTGCCACAAGGATCTGCTTAGTAACCTTGATATATTCGGGAAAGATATCAGTATAATCAAGAACCTATACTGGCAGCAAACAGCATGCATGCGAATAGGGAACGAGTTTTGTAAATATACAAAAATAGAACGGGGCGTAAGGCAACGATGCGTCTTCTCACCCGGCCTGTTCAACCTGTACAGCGAGGCGATTCGGAGAGAATTGGAAACTCTACTGGGATTTAGGATTGGCGGCCACAATCTTAACAACATAAAATACGCAGATGGCACAATACTGATAGCAGACACGGAAAAGAAATTACAAAATCTCCTATAGAAAGTGGCGACGGAGAGTGTGAAGAAGGGACTAAGCATAAACTACAAGAAGGTAGAACGCATGGTCATAAGAGGATGAGTCCGAAATGAGATCTGCAGGTCGGGAACGCTAGAATCAAGCAGACGTGGAAGTTTAAATATCTGGGAAGCGTAAGTGCGACACTAAATCCGTAGACGTATTGGGATATCTAAGAACACATTCCAAAAGCTGGACAGAGTATTGCGAGACAGGAGGATTTCTTTGGTAACAAAGAAAAGAATACTGAGCTGTTACGTGACATCTGTCCTTCTTTACGGTAAGTGCGACACTGAGATCCCTAGACGTATTCTGATGGCCAAGGATGCTTCCAAAAGCTGGGCAGAGTATTGCGAGACAGGAGGATTTCTTTGGTAACAAAGAAAAGAATACTGAACTATTACGTGACATCTGTTCTTCTTTACGGCAGCGTATGTTGGACGATTTTCTCAACGATGAAGAAGAGACTCGAGGCGACGGAGATGTGGGTCTACAGAAGGATGATAAGGATATCATGAACCGAGCGTGTGAGCAACGATGAGGTCATAGAGAGGTTAAAAACAAGGAGACTTATACTTAACATCAGGAAGAGGCAGCTGAATTTTCTGGTACAGATAATGAGGAAAGAGGGCCTGGAGAATCTGATACTCATGGGTCGAATAGAGGGAAAGGGAGACAAGAGAAAACAACGCGTGATATACCTTAAGGAAGTGGGTGACAGAACGTGGTTTGGGGGAAGGAAGCAGAGGGAAGGAATGGAAGGAAGTTGAGAGATGCAAGGGATAGAGGGAGATGGAGGGCCATGATCGCCTACGTCCTGAAAGGACACGGTGCATAAAAAGAAAAGAAAAAAGTACAAACGTATACTTCTGAAGAAGTGTTGATCAAAAATGATCCTTTGAAGAACGCGTTTTATATATTTAAGGCAATTCAAAGAATATAGAAGTCAACCATTCCGTTATCTTTCTAGGGAAGTTTCAGCATTTCCCAGATAATACATAAACAGGTGTGATAGTGTCCTTATTGTTGCGCATGCGCGTCAGCGTTAAGTAATTTAACATACGGTAGACTGACAACGCCAAGTAATTTTAATCCGTTTTTTTTCTTTTCTTCTAATACTGCAGGTTCGTTCCAGACTAAAATTGCTTTAAATTGTCTTACATTTCAAAGTCAACAATTTACACTACTTGATAATGATCAAATGAATTTTTCCCTATAGGAATACAGGGTCGATTTCTGTTGGAGAACGCATATTTTATACGTAATTTCTCGAACATTTACTGTTTCATTACTAACAGAGCATTTACCTAAATAAATTGTATCTATAAAAATAACGTATAAACAGAATATATATATATATATATATATATACATATATATATATATATATATATATATATATATTGCGTCTAGCATGAAACAGACTGTTGCCTCTAAGTGTTGACTTCTATGTTCACTTTTATATATATATGATAAAGTGCTCAATATCAGAGATAGAGCATATGTAAATATAAAAGTGAACATTGAAGTCAGCACACAGAGGCGACAGGCTCTTTCATGCTGAACGCAATCGTCAGGCCGCATATGTAAGACACTCATATTCGAGGATACCCATCTACTGGGGCGGCTAGCCAATCCCTATTGCAGACGCTTGCACAGGCTCATTTGTGTTTATTCAACACTCACAGAGCCCACCTGTGGTTTATACTGCAACTATGCTGAGCAGACCTTAGTTACAGTTTCCGGGAAAGACTGTTATCTAGCGTGATCAACAATTTGAACAAGACCAACATGCTCAAGCCCTCGACCACGATGACTTGTGCCTTCGTGCTAGCACAGATATCGATATCCTCCAATAGTTCCATCTACCTAATTTGATTCACAAGGCTTGGGTCAAACCATGGTATTATTTATTTTCAGGCACTTTCCAAAGCTGGGAACGAACCCTCTAGTCAGATAACATCAGGAAGTCTCCTTCCTGACAAATCGGCCTTGGTGCGATGGGAACCCGGGTCTCAGGGTCAGAATACGGACATTTTAACCCCTCCCCCAGATGTCCATAATGTAAGACATAATACAGCGTGTAATTAACGAATACATACACAAAAAAGGCGAAATAAGTAATAATAACAATTTAATGAGTTAAACGTTAGCAAACAACAGTATGGAGTAGCTATAAATAAACGTATTCGAATCTACATTTTTTTCTACTCAATAACATTTAGAATAATTTGAAATTTTAAAGATATTTTTGTAGGTACAAAATTTAATGATCGAAATAAAAGTATAAAACTTAATATTACGAGACAAATTAAAGACGTTCTCTCTTCCCATCAAATTAATTCAATTATTTACAAATACGTTTGTAGTTGCGGGGCCCACTACATAGGGAGAACAACTCAACGCTTAGACATGAGAATAAAACGACACGTTCCTACAAAAATTAGAAATCACACCTTGCCTTTGAATGGACTCGTCCCGAACACCTATAGTTCCGCCATATGCGACCACCTATTAAAGAACAGAGATTGTGCAGCCAAATTTAGTGTTGACTGGTTCAGTCTGAAGTCGGACGTCCGGCTGATCGGTTGAACTCTCTGCCTTCGGGCGGGGAGGAACCCGAACGAGGCTACGCCGAAGGGCGGAGTCTCCTTCGGGGAGGTAAACCGACCCTGAACCCGTTTATACGGTTCAAAGGGCATATTTTTGGCCGAGCCCACGGGCTCGGAGATCCCACGTTAAACCGGCCCTGTGCCACAGGATACCCTCGTGGGGGTGGTAACCAAATACTAGTGTTGACTGGTTCACCGTGTTGTCCCAGTCTCACTCCTTATTTCATCTAAAGGTTCTGGAGGCACTTTACATCGGGTCCCTTAAGCTTTCTTTGTGTAAACAACGTGAGTGTTTGTTGGGACTCGCTGTCATTTGTCTCTAGTTCCTTTTGCATATATTTTTTTTCACCACTTCCTTTTATTGTACATTTTTCTGCGTTAATTTTAAATCTCCCGTTGAAGCTTGAAGAGCGGGAGCGAAACCGGTTGCTTCACCTGTTTTTAATATGTCTCGTAATATTAAGTTTTATACTTTTATTTCGATATATATATATATATATATATATATATATATATATATATATATATTTGTGTGTGTCTCTGTGTGTGTGTGTCTCTGTGTGTGTGTAAATATATATATGAATGAATTTATTAAACAAAGTAACTAATAATAACGAAAACAAAATGTCTGTAGCAACTGGAAGAATTTAGAGAACGTTATTTTCATACTGTTAACTGAAAATTACGTCAATTACTGCATAGTGTGGAGATATTGTTATTATTGCTGTGTTTACGGATTCAACCATTTTCTTTTGATTTCTTGATACTGTTGGATACGTTTGTTTGGGAGAATAGTAATTCTGTTAAGAAAGGTGAAATAGGGAAAAAGTCTTGGCGTAGATTAATATTTGGGTAATATTCAATGGCGGCACTCTCGAGGATTTTCCTTCCGAGTGAGCTATTTTCTTTTTTTATGAGTGCATCATTTTTAAAATCAAAATTTTGGTTGAATTTATTTCTATGTATGTGTTGTTATTATTAGTTATTTTGTTTAATAAATTCATTTCGTTTTTTGCCTTGAAAAAGTTTACATTGGACGAAACACGTTGGCAACTATTACAGTTTTCCTGTTGTCTTTTGCATTTATAAATATTGGCTTTTCTTACAGGTTAACTCTGAGAAATTTTTCATATATATATATATATATATATATATATATATTGTATGGTGCAGTATAATTAATATTAAGAAATAGTTATTTTCTTTTTTTATGAGTGTAGCATTTTCAAAATCAAAATTGTGGTTGAATTTATTTCTATGTATTTTTTTGTTATAATTAATTACTTTGTTTAATAAATAAATAAATAACTATTCTAAAATATTTTCCGACTTTATATAATCTGAAAAAGGCTGATGAACCGTAAAAAATATCCATCAACCAACCTATGATATGGGCCATGAACAATTTAGGAAGTTTTGCCAGTTACAGAGGTTTTGCGCCCACAGTATCATCTGCAGTACGAATAATCTGTAAAACTTGTTTGTAAAACACCCCCACACAGAGATACGCCGATGTGATTTAGATTTTAATTAAGAAAAGCTGAAAAGAAAACGTGACCCTAATTCTCACGATTGAAGAATGCTAATTTGTAAAATAACAACCTATAAATTCGCTTGAGTGACATTAAGTGTACCCCTGTCGCTCGGGCGAGAAAAGAAATACTAACTGGAGTTATATGTTACAACGATAAGTGTTGATAGGGCGATGGTCGTAAAGGACAGCAGCAGAATGTGTGCCCAGCAACGAAGTATTTGTTCAGGAAGGTGCAGAGATGTTTGAAACGTGTTGACTTGTGTGGCGGGAAAATAAAAGTGGCAGTCAGCGCGAAGAAGTTGGATAATTAGTTTTTTTTTTTTTCTTTTTCTTTCTTTCTTTTGTGCGGCTTAGAATCAATCAAACATGAAAGAAGGCGAATGATAATTGCGTGGTTCTCGTACATTACATTTAAAAATGCAAATGCGGGTCGTTGTCTATAATTGAAAGCGAGATAATTGCGTTTTCTACAAAGCCACATGTCAACACAAGGGAAATTAAACACGCGAAATGCTGGATCCAGCAAGGAAGACATAGACTCTATTTTACGAATTCCAATATCTATCTATCAATCTAGTTCAGTCTGTTCATATCAATGTCTCTATGTATGTATGTACCTATCACATTCTATCTATATACCTATCTATCTCAGTCTTTTCATATCTATCTATATAGTTGTTCATATCTATCTATCTATCTATCTATCTCAGTCTGTTCATATATATGTCTCTATGTATGTATGTATTTATCGCATTATATCTATCTATCTATCTATCTATCTCAGTCTGTTCATATCTATCTATATAGTTGTTCATATCTATCTATCTATATATATATATATATATATATATATATATTTATATATATGTGTCGATCTCAGTCTGTTCATATCTAGCTATCTATTTCCGTCTGCTTCTATCTATCTCAGTCTGTTCATACCTGTCAGTTTTTATCTGTCAATCTATATAGTTATTCATATCTATCTATCTATCTATCTATCTATCTATCTAATCGCTGTCTGTTCGTATATAAACGTATCCTCTATATACATTTGATCATATCTATCTATCTATCTATCTCAGTCTGTTCATACCTGTCACTTTATATCTGTCACTCTATATAGTTATTCATATCTATCTATCTATCTATCTATCTATCTATCTATCTATTCGCTGTCTGTTTGTATATAAACGTATCCTCTATATACATTTGTTCATATCTATCTATCTATCTATCTATCTATCTATCTATCTATCTATCTATCTATCTCAGTCTGTTCATCTCTCTCTCTCCCTGTCTTTCACTTTCTGCCTGACTGTCTGTAAAGCTAAAACTATTTTATATGTCGAAATATTTTCATATCAATTAAAAATACTTCTAACCAGGCAAGAGAAAATCAATAAAATGTTCCATTTTTTTTTTTTTTTTTTTTTGAAATAACTGCCGAGTTCGATTTCCAGTCTACTTCGCTATATTCATTTACGTTTTTTTTTTTGTATAAATCCATCTCCCCTCCAGTTAGGAGTCAAATAGTGAAAAATCTATCCATAATATTCATTTGTTTTCCAAACCAAAGAAAAGTAATAAATAAATATTCACTTCCTCCATCCCCCAAAATAGAATTATTGTTACATATAAAAAAAATATGTTTCGGTTTTACATAACCCACATCAATTAAGTTGATTGTTTAACGGTATTTCTACCCGTTATGGTTTATTTAATACGGAAATTTAATTAATTAATGATATATGTTATTCTGCTTTCACATTTGAATACATGGTAGATGATACTCAGCTTTTTGTGCATATACATGTTTGTGTGGACAATTACTAGAGGCGGTGATATGTGTGTTTTATGTTGTAGTTTTGTTGAAGTTATATTTTGGAATACAGTTTGATTTCTTTAAGTAATTGTAGGATATTATATGGACTAATACCATGAAAGTATTCTTACATGTCGATTGGTTCAAATTGAATATAGGGTATTTAATACCGAAAACTAAATATCTTGTCCATAATTTTGTACTTTCTGTGTGCATATATATATATATATATATATATATATATATATATATATATATATATATATATTGTAGACCATAAAATGTATTGTTGGTGATTCTACTATAAAAAGGCACTGGTGCTTTTAACTGGGGGTTAATTATTTACCTATAGCTGTGACCCTGACAGGTGCTACCATCCCGGGTCAGGGAAAACGTGAGAACAAGAACAATTAAGAGTTGGTTCAACCGTTGATCTTCCATGCACTTCTAAACCTCCACTCAGCCGATCAGACACGTTGCTGCCGGATGTAGTTCATCGTCATACCCAGGACGACCTAAATAAAGTCAAGCAATCTGTTTGGGAATCAAGAGGAAATTGTAACTTGTTATGAGATTTTTTTTTTCGATATCATAAGAGCTTTGCCACAACTTCTTAAAGAAAGATGTGTTTATTTTTTATCGTTAAGCTCTTCTTGAATAAATATTTGAGTCTTCTTTTTTGAACATAACTGGATAAATTCATCGTTATTATCAGCGCGATTTCGTCTTCTGAGTGAATTTCGAAATAATCAGGATTAACTGTTAGAATGGCACATTTATTTTTCATTGATAACTGATTAATCCATTTCTATCTATCTATCTATCTATCTATCTATCTATCTATCTATCTATCTATCTATTTCAGACTGTTCCTATCTATCTATCTATCTATCTATCTAGTCAGGGAACTATCTCAGACTGTTCATGTCTGTCTGTCTATCTATCTATCTATCTATCTATCTATCTATCTATCTATCTAGTGAGGGAACTATCTCAGACTGTTCAGATCTATCTATCTATCTATCTATCTATCTATCTTCTCTATCTATCTATCTATCTATCTACCTATCTATCTATCTAATACAAGCATTTCGTATCTATCTATCTATCTATCTAATAACAATAATTTCGTATCTATCTATCTATCTATCTACCTAATACAATCATTTCGTATCTATCTATCTCTCTATCTAGCTATCTATCTAATACAATCATTTCGTATCTATCTAATACAATCATTTCGTAACTATCTATCTATCTATCTATCTATCTATCTATCCATCTATCTATCTATCTAATACAATAATTTCGTATTCTATCTATCTATCTATCTATATATCTATCTAATACTATCATTTCGTATCTATCTATCTATCTATATATCTAAAACAATCATTTTGTATCTATCTATCTATCTATCTATCTAATACAATCATTTCGTATCTATCTCTCTATCTATCTACCTATCTATCTATCTTTCTAATACAGTCATTTCGTATCTATCTATCTATCTATCTATCTATCTATCTATCTCAGTCTGTTCATAGCTATCTATCACAGTCTCTTCATTTCTATCTATCTATCTATCTAGTATCGAGTGAAATATCTCAAACTGTTCATGTCTGTCTTTCTATCTATCTCTGTCTGTTCGTACACATCTGTCTATCTATAGATGTGTTCATATCTATCTATCTAGCTAGCTAGCTATGCCTGTTCATATTTATCGATTTATCTACGTCTCTCCATATCTATCTATCTTTCTATCTGTCTATGAATAATCCATTTCTTTCTAATTCATTTCGTCATTGAATTTTGCAAGGTTAAAAATATCCATTATTCCTATAAAATATTTGTTTCTACTTCATTATTGGTAATAGAAATGCAAAGATTCGCCTTTCGTTTTTCTGCTAAACTCCGATCTCACCTAGATTCGTATATGGTAGTGACTGTTTTTTTTTTACGGTTAATCAATCTTTTGTAGGTTTTTTAAAACCAGAAAACATTTTAGATTGGTAGAATGTTTTGGAGATAATAATTTACTAATAAAATTAAAACATAATTGGAGAGACAACGAGATGGATTCATATTTTTTCCAAGTTTACTTGCGCGTAAGTGACTATAACAAACGTGACTGAGATTCGAACTCGCTTCTTCGATTTCCAATGTCTAACTGTTACCCATCGTCACATATCAGCTTACAACACTTAGTATTCCAAATCAGCCACCCATCTAGTTACTAACCAGGCTTGACGTTGCTTCACTTCGGTGATCGTACAACTGCTGATTCAACGTGGCATGGCCTTAAGCCTGGCAGTGAAAGCGGGAAAATGTCTGGAAGATATAGAAAGCGAATGAAATCTGTTTTTCTATAGAATATTGCCATGGACGGATAATGTGGGGGTTTCAGGAAAATTGAAATGAAAAAGACTTTTTATTAGAATCAGAAAAGAAGAGTTGAAATTTCTGAGAAGTATAACGAGAAAAGAGGGATGGGTAATTGTTACTGTCCGGTTCCTTGTACCACAATGATAGTCCAAGGTAGAACCAATAAAGATTAATACGAACACAGGTATGGAAAATACCACAGATATATTACAAACAGGAATATATACAGAGAAGTAGAAGTGTTAGTATGAACAATCAGGTTTAGTAGAGAGAACAATGTAGTCTCGACCAGTATCACTATTCCAATGTCTTGCAGTAATTGTCTGAACGCAACTCTGTTTCGGACTGCCTCTGACTCGACTCTTGACTCCACTTGAACTACAGACAATATTCAGTCACCCCCCCACGAGGGTGTCATGTGGCACAAGGCCTTTTTAACGTGGGTGAGCCATTAGGCTCGGCCAAAAAATAGCCCATTTGAACCCGTATAAACGGGTTCTGGGCCGGTTTTACCTCCCCGAAGGAGACTCCGCCCTTGGGCGGAGCCTCCTTCGGGTTCCTCCCGCCCGTAGGAAGAGAGTACAACCGTGCAGTCGGTTAAAAACTTGAACTACTGACGATATTCAGTCACACCCCCACGAGGGTGTCATGTGGCACAAGGCCTTTTTAACGTGGGCATTTCCGAGCCATTAGGCTCGGCCAAAAAATAGCCCATTTGAACCCGTATAAACGGGTTCAGGGCCGGTTTTACCTCCCCGAAGGAGACTCCGCCCTTCGGCGTAGCATCCTTCGGGTTCCTCACGCCCGTAGGAAGAGAGTACAACCGTGCAGTCGGTTCAAAACTTGAACTACTGACGATATTCAGTCACACCCCCACGAGGGGTGTCATGTGGCACTAAAGGCCTTTTTAACGTGGGCATTTCCGAGCCATTAGGCTCGGCAAAAAAATAACCCATTTGAACCCGTATAAACGGGTTCAGGGCCGATTTTACCTCCCGAAGGAGACTCCGCCCTTCGGCGTAGCCTCCTTCGGGTTCCTCACGCCCGTAGGAAGAGAGTACAACCGTGCAGTCGGTTCAAAACTTGAACTACTGACGATATTCAGTCACCCCCACGAGGGGTGTCATGTGGCACAAGGCCTTTTAACGTGGGCATTTCCGAGCCATTAGGCTCGGCAAAAAAAAAAGCCCATTTGAACCCGTATAAACGGGTTCAGGGCCATTTACCTCCCGAAGGAGACTCCGCCCTTCGGCGTAGCCTCCTTCGGGTTCCCTCCCGCCCGTAGGAAGAGAGTACAACCGTACAGTCGGTTCAAAACTTGAACTACTGACGATATTCAGTCACCCCCCCCCACGAGGGTGTCATGTGGCACAAGGCCTTTTAACGTGGGCATTTCCGAGCCATTAGGCTCAAAAAAATAGCCCATTTGAACCCGTATAAACGGGTTCAGGGGCCGGTTTTACCTCCCCGAAGGAGACTCCGCCCTTCGGCGTAGCCTCCTTCGGGTTCCTCCCGCCCGTAGGAAGAGAGTACAACCGTACAGTCGGTTCAAAACTTGAACTACTGACGATATTCAGTCACCCCCACGAGGGTGTCATGTGGACAAGGCCTTTTAACGTGGGCATTCCCGAGCCATTAGGCTCGGCAAAAAATAGCCCATTTGAACCCGTATAAACGGGTTCAGGGGCGGTTTACCTCCCCGAAGGAGACTCCGCCCTTCGGCGTAGCCTCCTTCGGGTTCCTCCCGCCCGTAGGAAGAGAGTACAACCGTGTAGTCGGTTCAAAACTTGAACTACTGACGATATTCAGTCACCCCCCCACGAGGGTGTCATGTGGCACAAGGCCTTTTTAACGTGGGCATTCCCGAGCCATTAGGCTCGGCCAAAAAGCCCCATTTAAAAACCCGTATAAACGGGTTCTGGGCGGTTTACCTCCCCGAAGGAGACTCCGCCCTTCGGCGTAGCCTCCTTCGGGTTCCTCCCGCCCGTAGGAAGAGAGTACAACCGTGCAGTCGGTTCAAAACTTGAACTACTGACAATATTCAGTCACCCCCCACGAGGGTGTCATGTGGCACAAGGCCTTTTTAACGTGGGCATTCCCGAGCCATTAGGCTCGGCCAAAAAATAGCCCATTTGAACCCGTATAAATGGGTTCTGGGCGTTTACCTCCCGAAGGAGGCTACGCCCTTCGGCGTAGCCTCCTTCGGGTTCCCCCGCCCGTAGGAAGAGAGTACAACCGTGCAGTTGGTTCAAAACTTGAACTACTGACAATATTCAGTCACCCCCACGAGGGTGTCATGTGGCACAAGGCCTTTTTGGGCTTTCCCGAGCCATTAGGCTCGGCCAAAAAAATAGCCCATTTGAACCCGTATAAACGGGTTCTGGGCCGAGTTTTTACCTCCCCGAAGGAGACTCCGCCCTTCGGCGTAGCCTCCTTCGGGTTCCCCCCGCCCGTAGGAAGAGAGTACAACCGTGCAGTTGGTTCAAAACTTGAACTACTGACAATATTCAGTCACCCCCACGAGGGTGTCATAAGGCCTTTTTAACGTGGGCTTTCCTGAGCCATTAGGCCCGGCAAAAAAATAGCCCATTTGAACCCGTATAAACGGGTTCTGGGCCGATTTACCTCCCCGAAGGAGACTCCGCCCTTCGGCGTAGCCTCCTTCGGGTTCCCCGCCCGTAGGAAGAGAGTACAACCGTGCAGTTGGTTCAAAACTTGAACTACTGACAATATTCAGTCACCCCCCCACGAGGGTGTCATGTGGCACAAGGCCTTTTTAACGTGGGCATTCCCGAGCCATCAGGCTCGGCCAAAAAATAGCCCATTTGAACCCGTATAAACGGATTCAGGGCCGGTTTAACCTCCTCGAAGGAGACTCCGCCCTTCGGCGTAGCCTCCTTCGGGTTCCCCCGCCCGTAGGAAGAGAGTACAACCGTGCAGTTGGTTCAAAACTTGAACTACTGACAATATTCAGTCACCCCCACGAGGGTGTCATGTGGCACAAAGGCCTTTTTAACGTGGGCTTTCCCGAGCCATTAGGCCCGGCAAAAAATAGCCCATTTGAACCCGTATAAACGGGTTCTGGGCCGATTTTACCTCCCCGAAGGAGACTCCGCCCTTCGGCGTAGCCTCCTTCGGGTCCCCCCCGCCCGTAGGAAGAGAGTACAACCGTGCAGTTGGTTCAAAACTTGAACTACTGACAATATTCAGTCACCCCCACGAGGGTGTCATGTGGCACAAGGCCTTTTTAACGTGGGCATTCCCAAGCCATTAGGCTCGGCCAAAAATAGCCCATTTGAACCCGTATAAACGAGTTCTGGGCCGGTTTTACCTCCCCGAAGGAGACTCCGCCCTTCGGCGTAGCCTCCTTCGGGTTCCCCCCGCCCGTTACAACCGTGCAGTTGGTTCAAAACTTGAACTACTGACAATATTCAGTCACCCCCCACGAGGGTGTCATGTGGCACAAGGCCTTTTTAACGTGGGCTTTCCTGAGCCATTGGCCCGGCCAAAAATAGCCCATTTGAACCCGTATAAACGGGTTCTGTTTTTACCTCCCCGACGGAGACTCCGCCCTTCGGCGTAGCCTCCTTCGGGTTCCCCGCCCGTAGGAAGAGAGTACAACCGCAGTTGGTTCAAAACTTGAACTACTGACAATATTCAGTCACCCCCCACGAGGGTGTCATGTGGCACAAGGCCTTTTTAACGTGGGCTTTCCCGAGCCATTAGGCCCGGCCAAAAAATAGCCCATTTGAACCCGTATAAACGGGTTCTGGGCAATTTTACCTCCCCGAAGGAGACTCCGCCCTTCGGCGTAGCCTCCTTCGGGTTCCCCCCCGCCCGTAGGAAGAGAGTACAACCGTGCAGTTGGTTCAAAACTTGAACTACTGACAATATTCAGTCACCCCCCACGAGG